AAAGAAACAGTTGACATTAATCTGAAAAGGTAAAGAACTTACTTCAGGTGGTTTTCTACCTAGTAGAATATACGTAGCCATAACTTCATCATATTTCTGATTTATTAAGGCGTCATTTATCTCATCTCGCGCAAAACCCATGGTGACCATGATGTCTAGAAAAAAAATGCAAATTTTCTGAAAATGGGTTTATTTTAGTAAACAAACCAACAAATGTAAGTTTGCCAACACAAGATATGAAAAATTCTGGAATTTTAAAGAGTAACATTAACTACCAAAACTTCTGTATTATTAACACACAGATACTGCATATTCAGATGCTATACAGTCACAATTTTTCATACAGAAACTACACCATGGGATCCACATTCACGTGCCTAGCCCGCTTCTCACCACCTAACACATTCCTGAGCTCCTCTGTTCAGCCAGAGAGAGACACACTATCCATCTGTGACACACACAAAACCCCTTCTTTCTTTTTCTCTATCTGTTAACACACCGTCCGCCACCCATGGAGTGGTTTCTCTCATCTCCTAACAACTCCTACTTTCTGATCTGAAGGCAGGCTGATTCTTCTTTGGGAGGCTTGAATCCCGCAGTTGTTCTGAGCCGATTCCTAACACCCTAGAACACGCCTCCCTTGCCCCTCTGCTCTCAAGACAGAGAGGAGCACGGTTGAGATGAGTCAGCTGTGAGTTTCTGCTGGCTTTGGTAACGGAGACAGAGTTGCAGAGAACAGGTTGGAAGCAGAGCGCGGCTGGGTGTGGGAGGATGCACCCCGCCGAGACGCCGGAAAATAGAAAGGGAGAGCCAAAGTGTTCATCCCCTCAGCTCAAGTGCCTCCACATTTTTGGTTAAAATACACGCTATGTTTTGCTGATACTTATCAGTCTGATCAGTGCTGATACTTAAACCATTCCTCCTGTTAGGGATTTGCTGAAAGAAAAGAACTAGGTTTATCTACATTATTTTAACTTCTGTATCACTGTTGTCAAGAACTGAAATGGATTTTAAAATACATGAGGACAAACTTGAAATTGTAACGTTTGGTGAAAATTCAGGGAAAGAAAAGATGACAATGCAAGTGTTTTCCAAATAAAAACGATTTCCTATTTATGTTTTTAAACACTATTTTGGTAGAGTGCAGGTCTCTTACAGTATAGGGCCAGCACGTCTCCCAGTATTTAAATACTTACCTATCCGTTTCGTGTCATTGAAATCTGGTTCAGGCTCAGAATATGGCTTTAGTTCTTCTTCTTCGTGACCGACGTTCATCCACCGATCTTTCATTATTTGCTAGGAAATAAACTTTACATTATGTTTGGCCAATCAGAACATTCCACCACTTATTTTAGCTCTATTTTTAGTGTGAAATTTTTGGGTTCACTCAGCAAGAATCATGATGTTTTCAATCTAAAGTCAGTCTGCAGGTTGATTGCCAGGCCGAAAGAGGGGTGAGGCTTTGGGACACACTTACATACCTTGTGACAGTGACAACTATCGTCACGCACACTCCCTGAATGTATGGATTCAAAATAACCTGCTGCCCATATTCCTCTAAAAGGAATATTATCTCATTTGCAAGTTTTAATCTCAGAACCCAGTGATTTCAACCTTTGCTTCATCCTATTGCATTTAAGATTAGTGAAGAGAGTATTCATTTTTCCTGGTCTTCTACCCAATGTATACTTATACACCTGTATTTTAAAACCACCACTTATAAAAGCGTTTGGAAAGCAGACACCATGGGGAATGGAAGACAGGGTTAGTAAGTAAAGACGGCTCAGAGAATGTGGAAGGGGAGAGTGGTCAGAATGTCAGAATGGAAGCCAGACTCAGGGATGAGCAAGGATGGGGATGAAAACAGGGACTGGTGTGAATTAGAGTCAAAACCAGGAGAGGTGCGAATTCGAGCAGTCCCGGTTTGTTAAAAGGCAACCTAATTGGGGGCATCCTACGGAATGGGGAAAATGTTCACAAACATATACTGGAGAAGGGGTTAATATGCAGAATACATATGGGAAATCTGACAATTCACTAACAACAAAACTGCCCAATTCAAAAATGGGCAAAGGACTTGGATAGATATTTCTCCAAAAGAATATGCACCAAGAGCCAATAACCCTATGAAAAGGTCACTAATCTAACATCACTAAACATCAGGGAAATAAAAACCACAACGAGGTATCACCTCACTTCTGTCAGGATGGCTACTATAGAAAAAAGTGAAAGTAACAAGTGTTGGCGAGGACGTGGAGAACAGGAGCCCGTGGGTGCCGCCACTGTGCCTGCACGACGGTGTTTCTCCTTCGGCGAACAGTGTGGAGGCTCCTCAAAAGGTACCACCAGACCTATAAATATGATCCGGTAATCCCACCTCTGGGTTTATGCCCACAAGAACTGAGAACGGAATCTTGAGGGGTATCTGCACCCCCGTGTTCACCACAGCTTTCCTCACAACAGCCAAGGTGTGAAGCAACCCAGGCGTCTGATGGATGAATGCGTAAAGAAGATGTCGTCTATACACACAACGGAATGTTACTTAGCCTTAAAACAGAAGGAAATCCATATGCTGTAGCACGGATGAAACTTGAGGACATTTCTAAGTGAAATAGGCCAACCACAAAAGGACAGATAATCATTACATGAGGGATCTAGAGTAAACGAACTCACAGAAACTCAAATTACATCCTTGGTGATGTTCTCAAGTTCAAGATGGCAATGTTAACAGACTGAAGATAATAACGAGTGGGATGAGACTTGTCACAGTCAGATCTGCAGCAAGTGAAAGATTCTGGAAGACTAAGAGTCCATCACATGACAAGGGACTGGAAGGGAGAACGCAGGCCACACGGGCAGACGCCCAAGGGCAAACGGCAGGGGTGCGTGTCTGGCGGACAGCGAGTTCAGTACGACCGGTGGGATGGGTGGGGAGGCAAGATGAGGGTAGGATATTAATAGGGTTTCTTTCAGTCACCTAAGGGGCACGTCTGGAGGGTGTGATTTTGAAGTCTCTCTGGCCAGTGTGTGGAGAGTGAACCAGAGGGGTTCGTGACTGGAGGCCCAGAAGTCAGCTAAGAGGCTTTAACAAGAATCTAGGAGAGAGGTGATGCCCGTCTGAATTAAACGGAGGCAGTGGCGAGGGGAAAGGACAGATTTTCAATACTGGGCTGGTAAAAATCAAGAAAACTTCGTGACTGGATACGAGGGGGAATGAGGATGTGGGACCGTTCAGAGGAAGAGAAGATGATGCCCAAGTTCCTGGTGTAGATGACGGAGTAGACGTGGACACCACCTACTGGGAGAGCAAATTCAGAAAGAGGAGGAGACTGGATGGGGAAAGAGGCAGCTGAGCGTTGGAGCAGAGGAGTTTGAGGTGCTGGCGGATAGATATCCAAATAGACATGTTCTGTAATGTTCTGTGAGCTCCAGAGAAGCTCAAGAGAAATCTGGGCTGAGGACAGAGATTCAGGAAGCAGCTGACACATGACGTCAGAAGCTGTGGATTCTCCAGGAATCCCAAACAGAGTCGGAAGAAGTAGAGGGGGGTCCACGGCACAGCCCCACGGAACACTGGCATTTAAGGGTTAGAGAGAAAAGTGACCCGAGAAGTGAGTGGAGGAGGGAAATCTGCACAGTGTGACACGGAAGGAAAGGCAAGAGTTTTTAGTTTTTAAAAATGTTTCACTTATTTATTTTGAAAGCGAGTGAGCACATGAGCAGGGGAGGGACAGAGAGAGAGAGAGGAGAGGGTTAGAGAATCCCAAGCAGACTCTGCACTATCATCACAGAGTCTGACCAGGGGCTCGATGCCATGAACCAATCGCGTGATCGTGACCCGAGCTGAAATCAAGAGCTGGACGCTCAACTGACCGAGCCATCCAGGCGCCCCAAGGCGAGTTTATCGAGGAGGTCCTGTCAAAGAAGGTGATGATAAAAAAGTAACCTGCTGTGTTTAGGAGCAAACACGAGTGGCGTCCCTGAGGGAGGTTTCAAGGGAGCAGAGGGGCCACTGAGAAATAAGGCACAGGCGAGGACACGCGCAGCGTAAGCGGAGCTACTTTTTACAAAGTCGGGCCGGAAAGGGAGGAACACGAGGGATTCTAGGCAGGGACTGCGGGCTTGAAGGGTGCCTTTTTCTAAAATGGGAGATACACGTACAGAGGCTGTGAGACAAAGGTGTCAGCAGAGTGGGGGCTGGACGGGACAGAAGAGGGAGCTTTTCTGAAGGAGAGAGCCATGAGAGGCACACAGGGATCTGCTTCACTGAAGTTAGAGCCTTTGAGGATAAAGACTGGGCCTTCACTACCTTTCTCAGCACACACGCTTGGTGCTGCGTTTGGACTGGGCAATATTTTATTTTTGATGTTTTTATTTATTTTTGAGACAGAAAGCACGAGCAGAAAGCACGAGCTGGGCAGAGAGAGAAAGAGACAGGGACCGAAGTGGGCTCTGTGCTGAGAGCAGAGAGCCCGGTGCGGGGCTCGACCTCACGCACCATGAGGTCATGACCTGAGCTGAAGTCAGACGCTTAACCGACTGAGCCACCCATGCGATGCGGCCCTGGGCAATATTTTAAAATAAGGCTGCTACAGAAGCCCCGGGTACAATGACATGTTGAGAGGAGCTTAGCAACGAAGACGGCTGAGGAAGCCGCTAGAACTTCCGTGAGACAGACAACCGAGGGCTGCGCTGGGCCTGAGGACACTGAAGAAGGAAGAGCTACAGAGGTATCATTCGAAGCACCTGATGACAGAATTTGTTCTGGGAACGAGGGAAAGAAAGGCTAGAATCCAAAAGGGTTCTGAGGATTCTAAGTCAGGTGCCTGGTGGAATAAACAACACTGTATCCGTGAATTAAGTGAGAAACGCAGGAGCAGTGACAGATTTGCTAGCTGGAAGATGGGCAATTAAAAGCAAAAATGAAGATACTCCAAATTTCCGGATATTTCTCAATTACACTGTGCTTGCTGGGTGTTCGTTTCATAACCATTGTGTGTCTGTCGTCATCAAGGAGAAAAACGTGTGTGGGCCACAACCCGCAGGCAACTTGTCTTTTACCTGGGGAAATAAGATTTGCTCCTGAAACCTGAAAGTATCTGAACACACGACAGAATTAATTATTCAAAACTGTGCTATTAGCAGTGCATATTGTGCTTATTAATAAAGGGCAAAGGGGCGACTTGTGGTGTGGGCTGGGGTTTTCAGGGAACGAATCATAAGGAGAGAGAATGTGAGGTGACTCTGGAAACACCGGGAGAATCTGGGTTGGTGGAAGAGTCAAGGCAGAAGAATTCAGGAGGAAACAGTGAGGAAGCTCCCTTCTCTGACTCGGAACCAAGGTAACGTGGAAAAATACAGAAGAATGGGAGATAAAGTTAGTATCTTCAGATGACTGGATTTAAACATGATGTGATGGGCGATGGAGAAATGCTACATTTCACCAACATGGATGTTACACAACATTTTTTTTTTTTAATGTTTATTTATTTTGAGAGAGACAGAGAAAGAGAGAGAGAGAGAGAATGAATGAATGAATCCCAAGCAGGTTCCACGCTGTCAGCACAGAGCCTGATGAGGGGCTTGAACTCAGGAACCATGAGATCATGACTTGAGCTGAAACCACAAGTCAGACGCTTAACCGACCGAGCCACTCAGGCGCTGTGAGAGGAACAATCTGAGGAGACGTAGCAGGAGAAGGAACCCTGCTGGTCCTCACACAAAGTTAGATCTGAGGCAAGGCTCATCCAGGGAAAGTGGGGGAAATCCCAGGGATATGGAGACACCAGGGCAGCGAGGAGAGAAGGAACGCGGTTTTGCCGTCCTTTTTTTCTTACTGTCGTCACTGGGGATTGCCAAGGGTCCACCCAGCACAGTCTGTCTCACAAAGGTAGTTGGATTTCAAAGCAAAATAAAAATCGTCTGAAGAAAATTTTCCTTTGGCAAAAGGAATGGAAGGTAAAGATGGGAAAGAAAATCTGCTTAAAGGAACGCGTAGAGGCATAAACTCTTAATTCTAAATGTGAAGGTCTTTTCCAAGAATAAGGCACAGGGAACAGCAAACTATGGATGTAGAAGAGGGAAGACCCATGTGCAAGAAGCTGTTCTTAGCTGTGTGAACCTCATGCCCTAAACACTTCTTCTGTGGGAGCCAGGGTTTGCCCCGAGGCCAAGGCAGAAAGGCCCCCGGAAACGGAGGTGCTGCGGGCCAGGCGAGTGGTCACGTAGCCCTCGCCGTGTGGCTACAGGCGCAGTTCAAGGCCGCACAGCGCGCTAGACCTGCCAAATAAATGAAC